GCCAAAACCCCTACCCGCCTCCACCACCGCTGAGTCACCTCAGACACAACTACCCCTGTCTGGGGCAACAGCAGAGCCAAACACCCCAACACCAACAGCCACACGTCAAACCAGACCACCGCGGACAGTACGCACCGGGGTAAGAGAAAGAGACAGCAGAAAGGAGCAAATGTGGCGAAATGTGTCAACAGATGAATTTTTTCACCTATTAAAAAAAAAATGTATTTTCTATTGTTTTTTTGCCGTTTGCTGTATTTTTGCTCTTATGGCCACATTTTTCTAATGAGAAAATTTAGTATGAATTTATACAATGTTATTTGTACAGAAACATACAGATTTTTAGGGGGAAAAAATATAAGCATATAGGTCCACCCCTAAACCTAACTGTCAGTGAGTCATAAGCAGATCATACGAAAACATACAAATTCATAGAATAATTTTATATATATTATTTTAGAACAAATTTGCATGATGTTATTCCAATTAAAACTAGTAAAAACTAAAAATATTTATTATTATTATTAATTTTATTTATTTATTGTATTTTCTTAAAAAAAAAAAGTAGCATTTCAATTTAGATTAGCATTAGATTGTTTAGATATATTAATAATAATTTATTCATTTATATAATTTTAAGTCATCCTTCAACCGGCTTAGAAGGTTGCTGAAGGCTCTAAGAGAAAGTGGCCGCAGAGTCATACAAAAACATACAAATTCATATGTATTAGACACCAATTCACGATAATGCAAAATAGTTATTAATTGTCTTGGGCACAATAGCACAGTTTCATCACAACAAGAATCATAGTATGTAAAATTTGAGTAGAATAGATTAAAACTTACCATGAGAAAACACAACTTTTTTTGATTTCCCATCAAATTTGATAAAGTGTATGATATTTAGAAAAAATATCCACCCTTAAATCTAACCCTCAGTGGGACATAAGCAGATCGTATGAAAAGATACAAATTCATACAAATCGGCTACCAATTCACGATAATGTAAAATAGTTGCAAACTGCTGTAAGCACAATAGTGCAGTTTCAATGCAAATTCAGAATCATAGTACGTCAAAACTCATGTGACTGGTCACAAAAGTTACACGAAATGTAACTATTTTTCGAAGTGGTAATTTTGTATGAATTCATATGATGTGATTTGTATGGTACTTAAAAATGTGACTAAAAAATTTTATAAAAAATGTGACTAATCTAAGGACTAATCTGTCTGTGGGGCATAAGCAGATTGTACGAAAATCTACGAATTCATATGAATTAGTTACGAATCACCTTGAGCTTGTGTTGATACATTCAATATACACAATAGTGCAGTTTCATCACAATTTCAGAATCATAGTACGTCAAATAGTTTGCCCCACCCCTTTTGATATGCCCTGCCTCTTAATTTTGTATGACCTCAGATAACCCTCAGTTCAGATAAAGGCTGAGTAAGACAGACGGAGGAGTGAACTGGGACTAAGCGCTGAGACGCAATGGGTCAGGCCTGATAACCTGTGAGGAGTTGTGCAATCACTAGGGGTGTAACGGTACACAAACATGACCGTTTGATACGTGCCTCGGTTTTGACATCATGGTTCGGTATGGTTTCAGTACAGCAGGGGGAAAAAACTAAACATAAAATTGCTTTTTTTATATTTAACAGTGGTTTACTGATCAAATTGTTCTTTCTTTATAATTATAATTTAAAAAAAATTAGGGATAGAAATCTACCTCAGATTCTGATCTAAACTAGGGAACTAAACTCTTTTACGTTACTATAAGGTTACAATTAACAACAGAGCCCAAATTTAAATGTAATTACTATTTATTTTTAAACAAAATAATCAACACTCAACTTAAAAAAATATGCAAACATATAAATTGCGCATAATGCAGTTTTTAAATTAACTTCTAAATTATACAATTTCTATTTGTTGGTGAAAAGAGCGTCAAAACGGCATTTATTGTTTGAATTTCCTGAAAATTGACATAATTTGAAAGATGAGACTTTGTTTCTTATCAAAAGTAACAATATATAAAACTGACAGTGTCCAATGAAGTTACACTCATGCAGTGGCTAAAATAACACTGTATTTGTTCAGTACACATGCGTACCCAACCGAAAGACCCGTACCGAATACATGTACCTTTACACCCCTAGCAATCACAAATGCTGTTTTATAAAGTTGCCCAAAAGGAGGCAGCAGATATGTTGTTAGTGAGCTTTCTGATTGGTTTCTAATTAAAACATGAGTCTTGTTGAGGAGAGCTGTGATCAAATAAACAAAGCAACACATTAAAACCCACTCAGAGTACCTTGCAATTGCAGGGCAACCAGAGCAGCCCTGACAATCACTCATGTTGTCATGTGTTTAATGTATATAAAATGTATTTAATGTTATTGTTGTTGCAGGACGCTACCCGAGTCCCCTCCTGACTCCAGCTCAGAGCCATATTCACCCCAGCAAGCCAACGGTTAGTTCAGTCCACCAACCAAGAACATACACAGAAAGTTGTTTAATTATTCTTTCAGAATTTTAAATATATTTTCGATAAATGTGTACATGAAAAATGATTCACGGGCAGAGGGTGAAGAATAAGAACTTATTATGCATATGTATTATTATGTATATGTATATGTAGAAATCAAAATTGAAGGAAATATTAAATGTAACTGAATGCCTGCTTATTAATTTTCCACATTAGATCCACACATGCTCAGGACAATGACGCCCGAGAACATGTGTCACATGACCAGTCCTCCGCCTCTTCCTACACACCCCCACTATCCCAGCATGCACCGGGACATGTACCTTAAGCCAGAGCCCATGATCTCACAGTATGCGATTGGTCCAGTCAGCGGCGGGGGCGGAGACATGCAACAGAGTCAGATGCTACATCAACTCCTGCAACATCCACAAGGACCAGAGTAAGAGAGAGAACCAGAGGAACATTTTATTGCTTAGAGGTTGCTCTTTCATAGCTCAGGGGACTTATAAGAATATGACCTAAATTATTTATCTGAAGGACCCTTTGAGATTTTAAGTAAGGTGAATCTTTTAATACATTTTATATATATTATATACAACATTTTTTGTGTGATGTTATTCCAAATAATTAAAACAAATAAAAAATGATTTATTATCCATTTGTCACATTCAGCAGTAATATTACAATCTCAAAAACCCCTAGTGGTTTTTTCATAAACTGTAGGTGAAGAAATATTATTTCAATTTAAATTTTGATTTAATGTGTTTTTGTAGCATTTCAATTTAGATTATATTATTAATATTTTTAATTTTTTTTACCTCTAAGTCATCCTGCTGCCTGCTTGCAAATTTGCTGAGGGCCCTTAGTGGTCCCCTAGCCCCCTGGTTTTGTTTTATTTTGTTTTGTTTTAACATTCAGCAGTACTTTTACAATCTTAAAAACCCCTGGCGTTTTGTGAATTCCATGTGAAGAAATATGATTTCAATCTTGATTTTGTGTTTTTTTTTTTATATCATTTTAATTTAGAGTTAGGTTATTAAATAAGTAGTGTCAAAGGTCAAAATTTTCCACAGCAACAAATAAATGCTCTGTGTTTCTCCAGTGGGATTCCCGTACATCCAGCAAAGAAGAGAAAACATTCAGACTCTCCCAACAGCACTATCAACTCACAGATCCTCACAGGCATCATCAAACAAGAGCCAGGTACACATACACACACACACAGGTACCTCAACACAACTGCATTTTCAGCACTGCATGATGTAAGTGCGTTCGTGTTTTCACAGGTTTGATGCAGGATGCAGAAAACTCATACCTGGATCCAAACTACCAGTGCATAAAGTGGCAGCCGCACCAGCAGAACAAATGGACTACATTGTACGACTCCAGTGGAAAAGAACTGTGGGTGCTGCCCTGGTCTTACGCACCTCTGCATTTAGATTTATGACAGAGCAATGAGAAATGCATTGAGGGCGAGAGTTGTGTGTTTGGGATTTAATGGGGTATAGGGAGGTATCAGGCTGTACTAAAAGAGACAGAAGAGAGAGAGATGGCAGAGGCCAGGGAATTCCTATGAGGTGAGCAGCGTGTAGGAGTGAGAGCAAGAGCAGAGATCTGGCTTACAAGACAGAGGAATGAGGATGAACAGAGAGAGAAAGATCAGGCACAAGTGGCATGACTTTAAGTTTTGTACCACGAAATATTTTTAGTTTAACTAAGAAAATGGGTTATTCTGTAAGTGTTGTGATAAATAGAAATTATTTCATATGAAAATTTATTTCTACATATATTTTTATACATTTACATACAAAAAAAAGTTTTTTTTCAAAATTATCAAACTTTGATGGTGATATAGATTTTATAAAATAATTATAATTTATATAATTATAATTATGTTCATAATTCTTTATAAAATAACATTTTATGTATTATATTTTACATAATTTAATGTGTGTATATATATAATTGTTAACATATAAACATAAATATAACAGTTAATTTTAAAGTTATTTTGAAAACATTGATAGTGATGTGTATATACGATTACAATTTATTATTTTAGTTAACAGAAAATCAATGACATCAATATTCATTACTAAACCTAAATATTAAATATTTTTCTTAAAACTTTTAATGTCAACAGATCATGTAAAAAAAAACAAAAAACATGTACACCACCACACTTTTGTAGTACATTGATTGAATGTAATCACATACATTTATTTAATAATTATTTCTAAAAATAAACTAGATAATTAATCATTATTAGTTATAATAATTAACATGTATTTTAAATATTATATAATTTAATATGTAACCTTATATAAAATATAATACATTTAAAAAAAAAAGATAATCAGAAATAGATTTTGAGATTGAGATTTTTTTTTTACAGTAACCTTAAAAATCATCTTAAAAATCATCTAAATAATATTAATTTCCTTTTTTTTTTTTATCATAATTTACTTTAATTTAGGTATTTTCCCCTGAAGTCCTCTTATAATTTTAACAAAGACATTTAACACCCTCTCTTCTTCATGCAGTTTTCTTTCTCTCTTTCTGCTTCTCCAGTCCGATGCCTACATATAGGGTGGATGCAGATAAGGGTTTTAACTTCTCCTTGGCTGATGATGCATTTGTGTGTCAGAAGAAGAACCACTTCCAAGTGACCGTGTACATCGGGATGCCAGGAGATCCCAAATATGTCAAGACCAGCGAGGGGCTACAGCCCATTGAATGCTTTTACCTGAAACTCAATGGGGTCAAGGTGAGCCAAAAAAACAGAACACATGTCACTACTGTCTATAAACTCTTGCCTGTTCTAGTATGTTTTTATCTGTTTGTCTTCCAGTTGGAATCGATGAATCAGTCCATTAATGTGGAACAGTCACAGTCTGACCGGAGCAAAAGACCCTTTAAACCAGTTGTGTACGTTTTTCACATTATATTTACTAATATTATGTATTAAGAGTGGTTTTTAGGTTGGCCTGTGACATAAATGTTAACTATTTGTTTTATAGAGTGACATTGCCGCCAGAGCAGGTGACCAAAGTAACGGTGGGACGTCTCCATTTCAGTGAGACCACAGCTAATAACATGAGAAAGAAAGGCAAGCCGAACCCAGACCAGAGGTATGAAATATAACCATGACAAAGTAATCCTAACTAGGTTTATTTATAACTTTTTTACTGCCCCCTCAGGCCATCCAAGATGTAAATGAGTTTGTTTTCTCACTGGAACAGATTTGGAGAAATGTAGCATTGCATCACTTGCTCACCATTGGATCCTCTGCAGTGAATGGGTGCCGTCAGAATGAAAGTCCAAACAGTTGATAAAAACATCACAATAATCCACAAGTTATTCAATCCACTCCAGTCCATCAGTTAATGACTTGTGAAGTGAAAAAGTGAAGCTGCGTGTTTGTGAGAAAATACGAGTCCTCTATCCATATTATTGCTTTCTCCAGTGAAAAAATCATATTGTCTGAATCAGGAGAGAAATACGCACACATCAACCAAAGTTGACAAGCAAAAATAGTCCAAAATAGTTCTAAATAAATATGTCAGTGTATTTTGATGTGAGAGGACAACAGGGGATGGATTTTTTTTCACTGGAGGAAGCGTTTTTGTGTATTATGGACTCATATTTTGACCAGAAGCAATGGTTTAAAGATAAAACATCTTAATGATGGATTTGTTTCTTACAAACACACAGCTTTTCACTTTACAAGACGTTAATTGATGGACTGGAGTGGTGTGGATTACTTGTGTATTACTGTGATGTTTTTATCAGCTGTTTGGACTCTCATTCTGACGGCACCCATTCACTGCAGAGGATCCACTGGTGAGCAAGTGATGTAATGCTACATTTCTCCAAATACTGTTAATACTGTCCACAGATATTCCACAAGATCAAAATAACACAGAATATTCCTCTAAACCTCTTATGATTTTTCATTAAAAACACTTACATTTGTATTTTGTGTAGGTACTTCATGCTGGTAGTAGCTCTTCAGGCTCATTGTCACAGTCAGAGCTTCACATTGGCGGCTCAAGTCTCCGAGAGGATCATCGTCAGGGTAACCGCTGTCAGTCTGGTCGTGTCTGTCTGATCGACCTCTTCCAATCACAACCTGTTTCTCTGTGTCAGTGATCCACCTCTGACCAATCACTATTACTGTTACAGTTTACTGGTTATGCTGCTGAATTTGTTTGCATTTACTTTTGATTTATTTTCTTAGTATTAGTTGAGAAATATAAATGCTGAAGATATCATAAATCTTAATTATGTGCAAAATATTTATTTGAAGTTTTATGTATAAATCTATTTAAAAGTCAACTGAATTTGCAGTAACACCTTCCCTTCTCAGCCATTTACTTAAATTATTGTTCTATTACTTAGTTCTTTCTTTCTTTCTCTGTCTCTCAGGCGTCTAACCCAGGTCAATTTGAGAGTGACAGTGAAGTGTTGTGGCAGAGAGGGCAGATGCCGGACTCTGTGTACCATCACGGCCGGGTGGGCATCAATACTGACCGGCCGGATGAGGCTCTGGTTGTCCACGGCAATGTGAAGGTCATGGGTTCCCTTGTGCACCCTTCTGATATTAGAGCCAAGGAGAATGTAAAGGAGGTACATTTTTATATGTGTGCATATCTCTCCTTACACATGCTAAAGAACCGTTTTGACAGTTAAGAACATTTAACAACCATACAAACATTTTTAATCGCCCTGAAACTATTTCCATCATGTTTTCATATTATAAGAATTTAGCTGTCTTCGTTTATTTATTTACAATCCACAGGTATCTCTCACACTTTTTCTCTCTTTCTCCAGGTGGACACCACTGATAACCTGAGGCGGATTTCCCAAATGAGGCTGGTGCATTATCAGTATAAGCCTGAGTTTGCAGCCACAGTGGGCATTGATGCCACTTCTGAGACTGGTACTGTCCCCACAGATCAATTCCAGTGTAAATTCCCAATTGGGGTCATATTTCACCCCAAAATTAAAAGAAAAAAAATTGATCATCATTGTGTCTGGACAGTAATGAGAATTTGTGTTGGTGAAAATATGCTTAATTTTGATGCAAATAATGTTGCAATGCAAAAAAAATCTTTAGATCTTAAGAAAAATTAAATCTTAATTAAGTCTTATTTTAGTATTATGTACATTTATTACTATTTTGAATTACATTTTTATTTTTATATTTTCATTTTCATTTTAGTTGAAGTTATTTTATTAGTTTGTTAATATTTCTATTTGGCTTTAATTTATTTTTATTTTAGTTTTAGTCATTTTACTACTTAAACTTATTTATTTCTGTTAGATGCCAAGGCAACATTTCTAATTGTTATTTATCTTTTTTTTTTTTTTTTTTTCATCTAATATTCTTATTTTAGTTTATGTCAGCTTTATTTCAATTATCAAAAATATTTTTTAAATAGTTTTAGTTACCAATAACAACACTGTGCTAAAATTATTCCTTATTTTCTCCTTTTGAATATGGGGTGAAATGTGAACCATACATTTATTTGTGAGATTTATTCATAAAGGATGATTCCATTACAGTCACTATTTAGTAGGTAGGACTGTAAAACTAGTGCTTAACAGAAACTTAGTGTGTCCAGTTAACAGGTTGTGTGTGTGTGTGTGTGTGTGTGTGTGTGTGTGTGTGTGTGTGTGTGTGTGCTCTCAGGTCAGACGAATGAAACAGCCACTACAGACCAAATGTATCGATCGGACCTCTGACTTTTCTCTCTGTGCTGCTGAGTGAAACTCATCAGTTATGAGAAGCTGTGATTTCAACTACTGAACAGACCACAGACAGACAAATAAAGAGAAAGAGAGGGAGGTGTTAAAACACTGTAAAATGAAGGCTGGTACTCTACATCGGGCTCAGCATCTAATGAGAAAATACAATTCAAATAACTTTTAAAAGCAGTAAGATAAACATTAACTGTAACTAGAAAAGGAATTAAACTGCATTGGCCACAGCCCACAGGCTCTATCTATCCATCTATACTTATACGTATACGTATCTATCTATCCATCCAGCTACAGTATCTAAACACAGGTTGTGTGTGTTATCAGGGGTCATTGCTCAGGAGGTCCAGCAGATTCTGCCGGAGGCTGTGAAGGAGGGAGGAGACGTGGTGTGTGCTAACGGAGAGACCATCCCTAATCTACTGGTGGTCAATAAAGTATGAGCACACAAACACATTCTTACAGATGCCCACACAGTCTCTGCCTCTCTCTCATGTGTGTGTTTGATTCTGCAGGAGCGGATCTTTATGGAGAACGTGGGAGCAGTGAAGGAACTCTGCAAACTCACTGATAATCTGGAGACTCGCATTGACGAACTTGAACGCTGGAACCGGAAGCTCGCCAAGCTGCGCCGGCTAGACAGCATGAAGAGCACCGTCAGCGGAGGCACTGTCAGGTGTGTGCTTATGAAGCTGTGCACTCACACGTGCATCTGTTTGAGTACATTCAAAGTGAGGAAGTCTGGAGAAATATGTGTTTTTTTTTTCTAGCCAATCAGGAAGCTATTTTAGCAGAACAGGAAGTGGCCCACTCAAGAAAAAAACAGCTAAGCCAGGAAGCAAGGTATGATTTAAAACAGCCTTCCACTTTAAAAAAATATATTCATATATTAAAAACAAGAATGGAATGGAATGAGATGTGATGTGATGTTACGGTCTCATTGCAGGTGAGAAAAACAACATCAATGTTGTTTTCAAAAAAACAGTTACTAAAATTATACTTTTAGGATGTTTATTGTGTTACTAAATTCCACTAATGTGATGCAATATAATCATATTGGATATGAAAGGATCATATGGAATGCAATAGAATCATGTAGGATGGGATAGAATCGTGGAATGGAGTAGAATCATTGGATGGGAAAGAATCTCATGGAATAGAGCAGCATCATATTGGATGGAATAGAATCATATGGAATGGAATAGAATCAGAGAATGGGATAGATTGATAGAATAGGATATGATTCAAACATAATGAATGGGATTGCACAGAATCAGTGGTATATGATGAGAGGAATGTAATAGAATAGAATAATTTGGACTGGGATGGAATAGAATTGGATGGGATGGGATGAGATGATTGTTGTTGTTTTTGCAGCGGTCCAACCCAGAGCAGGGCTGCCTGAGTCACAGATTCATGCAGGGCACCATCCTGGCGCTGGTCATCATAATGGCCTTCAGGTGAGGGAGGAAATCATTCACCCCAAACATTAGAATGAATATTTTGAGTCTTTGTTTCATGCTCATTATCATCTGTTCTGTAGTGTCATCTCCATGTCCATCCTCTATGTGCTCAATCTTCAACGCCATGGAAGCATAAGTGATGTTGAGGGGTATGTACGTGTTCACACACACACATCCATTCACACGTACACATCACCACGTCATGCTCAGAGGTCTTTCTCTTTATTTCTGTATGCTCTCGTTTGATCTCCTGCTGCTCATTTCTCTTAGTGTTGTTTGTAGCTCTGCATCTCGCTGCCTTCTCTTCGTCTCTTGGACGCCCTTCCTCACTGCAACCGTCACATTCTGTCCATCCTTCTGTCTGTGGTATGCTGTCCTCTTCTTTTCTCTCTGTTTCTCTATCACTTCATCTTCCCATCCAGCAGCAAAAGATTTCCAGTCCTACATTTCCAAAAAAAATAACTTTTTAGGAAAATTGTATTACTCAGAGGTTTTTGAGAAGAAGTCTCTTATGTTCACCAAGTCTGAATTTGTTTGATTAAAATAGAGTAAAAACAGTAATATTTTGAAATATTATTACAATTTAAAGGAGCTGTTTTCTATTTTAATGTATTTTAAAATGTAATTTATTCCTGCGATCAAAGCTGAATTTTCAGCATAATTAACCCAGTCTTCAGTGTCAATCATTCTAATCAATCATTCAGTGAAATCATTCTAATATGCTGATTTGCTGCTGAAGGAATGTTTATTATTATTATCAATGTTGAAAACAGTATATTGTGGAAACCGTGATATTTTTTCAGGATGCTCTGATGAAAGAAAGTTCAAAAGAACAGCATTTATTTTATTTACAACAGCATTTGTAATCTTTGTAACATTTCTTTAAAAAAATCTTTAATGGCTGCAAACTTTTGAAAGGCAGTGTTGCTTGGAAGATTTTCAAAGACTTCTCATTTCAAAGTATTCTTTAGGAGACAGACAAGAATTGATGAGAAATGTTTGGGTTCATATTGAGATCTCTGAATTTTGATTCAAACTGGTATCTTGGCAAATCTAAGCAAAGATTGAGCCATTTATTGTCAGCTTAATCTCTGGAAGAAACAACTGAGAGAATTAAGAATTAATTATTTGATTATTATTATTTTTTTCCCGATATGATCATTTCTTTCTTTGTCTCGGCAGGTCTCGTTCTGCTCTGGGTTCGGCTCGTCAGGCTTCTTTTTCCCGTGTCAGAGTGACCACATCCACTCTCTCCCCAGGTGCAGAAAAAACACTCACGTAACAATGCACATTGTATTTTTCCAAAACGCGTATTTTGATTGTTAGTTTGATAGACATTCATTATCTGTTTACAGACTCCACGTCGCCATCGTTGTCCAGTCACCCGCCCTGCTGTCCTTCAACATCTGCCACAACCAATCAATCAGCCACTATCGGTCTGTTGCCAGGCAACAACCAATCCACTCCTGGTATGACAACAATGTCACCAGACAAATTACAACTTTCGGCAAACTGAAAGTTTGTAAATTGTCAGCCATCAGAGCAGTTTCAAACAAATGACTTGGGAACACTTTACTTTAAGCTTTTATATGTAATGCATTATAGAAGTATTTTTAATGCATTATTATGCCTTGTAGTACACCTTATAATGCACTGTATGATCTCAACATAATTATACATTATAATATTTATCTATTAATTGCTACACCTTTAGAAAGTATAATTCATTAAATCACATGACAAACAGCCAATTTCGATGTAACAATAAATCTGCAAAAATTATAATGCATTTTAACTTAAGTTATGATTATTTCTGAAAATATACAATGCATTGTAATGCACATTATGAATACTTTTATAATGCATTCAAGTAAAGTGTTATCAATGATGACTTAAATGTTAATGTGAAATTAAAATTTATCTACTTTTTATTACATGTCTTACTCTACATTTTTTTTGTCTGGTCAAAAAGACCAGTGTTTCACTCAGAAAAATGCATCACATTATGGAAGTAAAATGGGTTGCGAATTCTCTTTCAGGTTGAATCAATGAATCAGTTTGATGAATGAATGAATCAGTGAACTGACACATCAATGATATCTTGTCATATCTTATCAAAGCTTCTTTATACTGCTCTTTTTGTTGGATTAAATAGAAAAAGGACTCATTCAAACCTTCTTTTCATATACAGTATCGTTTTTCTCTCACTGTATCTCTCTCTCTCTCTTTCTCTCTCTCTCTCTCTCTCTCTCTCAGACTCCAGCACTGGCGTTCCCACCCAGGCCACTATTAACAAGAAGGCAAAGTCTCGGCTGCTGGACAAAGACAGCCGGAACAAGAACCGTCTGAGTCACACGTCGTCTCCTCTGTTCCTCAGTAAAGGCAAACGGCCGCCTCAGCCTCCAGAGCTGAGCGGAGCAACCAAACACTTGCCTGGTGGACAACAGCCACCGTCCCGGAGACAGCGCAGTATCAACACACAGGGTAGAGACACATATATATAAATATAAATCTATATTTAAGTAAAACTATACATTAAATTTAATTTAAATTTTGAAAATAATTTTCAATTATATTTAATTGCTTTTTATAATTAATTATTATTAAAATTTTCTGTCTTTTACATATATTTACATTGTTAATATATGTATTTACTCTGCGATGTTTTAAAAGGGTGATTTTATTTTCAAAGTAGCTTTTAAAATAATTTTACTCTTAAAAATAAACATTGTTTATCATTTTATTTACATTTTGAAAATATTTATTTACTATATTTTAAATTGTTTAATTTTTATATTTAATTACATTTATAATACCTGCCTTTGACAATAGTTAATGTGTATTTTCTCTGCAATATCTGTGGGGGTTTTTTTCAATCAGAGCAGCTGTTAAAATCAAGAAGTGAAATACAGTACAAATCTAGCCAGTTAGATTTATCAACATAACAATGCATGATAATAAATAGCAATATTTACCAACATAGTTAATGTGTATTTTCTCTGCAATATCTGTTTTTTTTTTTTCAATCAGAGCAGCTGTTAAAATCAAGAAGTGAAATACAGTACAAATCTAGCCAGTTAGATTTATCAACATAACAATGCATGATAATAAATAGCAATATTTACCAACATATATTTTTACGAAAACATTTTAACATATAAAAACATGCCTCACATAGACTGTTTAAATAGGTTTAAGTGATACGAAACAACTCTTTGAATCAGTTTTCATTTGATTCATTGAAAAGATTCAAATAAATTAAATTTACTAATTCTAATGCTAGATTGATTTAAACCATCATAAGATTGTTTAATATTACATTTCCATCAAAATCAGCACAAATAAATTGTGAATTTTTGATGTTTGTTTTATACACAGGTGGAAATCCACCAGCGTGTCTAAGCAAACTTCACATTCTCGAGATGGATCAGGAGATCAGAACGCTTGATTGTTCCTCATCTGAGAGCTGCAGGTGTGTGTTCAGATTGTATATCTCACTGATATTATACTGATGTTTTCAGGCTTCTGATCTGATGGGTTTTATTTGTTTGCAGCTTTACTGTGTTTCTAAATGGAGACAGAAACTCATCTATGTCTTACATTACTCTGCACATGATGTGAGTATAAACACAGTTTTTGGCTTTTACTCCAGTAATATTGAGAAATTTGTTTTATAAGAAATGAGGCCTCACTGATATGATGTTTTTACGTGTTTAAAAGGAAAAGTAAAAAAAATGTACTCTCCCTCAGGCCATCTAAGATGTAGATGAGTTTGTTACTACATCAGATTTGGAGAAATGTAGCAACACATCACTTGCTCACCGATGGATGCTCTGCAGTGAATGGGTGCCGTCAGAATGAGTCCAAACAATGTAATCCACACCACTCCAGTCCATCAATTAACATCTTGTGAAGCAAAAACTGTTTGTAAGAAACAAATCCATCAAGACATTTTAACTGGCCAAAATACCATAACACTTCCTACTAGCTTCCACTTCCTAATTCTGACGGCACCCATTCACTGCAGAGAATCCATTGATGAGCAAGTGATGTAATGCTAAATTTCTCCAAACCTGTTCTGATGAAGAAACAAACTCATCTACATCTAAGATGGCCTGAAGATGATAATATTTTTATTAAAGTGTTTTGCACTGGCTATGTTTACATGCACAATTTTTGGTTCAATCGGACTGAATTCATTCCGATTGATTAATCTGAATGTAGAGTTTACATGAATGGTAAATAAAGAGATCGGGTTGATGTGCTTGTTTATATGTCACAAGCTTCAAATCGGAATTGATTTTTTTTTACATGCGCACACTGCACAAATATAGAGTTTCTCACTCTCCTACATGGTTTCTTTACTTGTTTTTAACAGCAGAATTAATATGTATCCATTTATGAATAAATATACATATAAACCGCTGTGCTGTGCAGTGTTGCTCATATTTATCATGCAGTACAAATTCCCCTCTCCGCACCCAAAACGGGTTGCCTGTGGATGAGAATCCAAAACAAGGACTGGTGAGAGGATGTCCTGCTCCACTTCACAGTTACCGAGTGAAAGGAGAGTTTTATAATGACAGGACATGCATTTATACAACACTTTATTCAAAAGGAAGAACCGTTCATTCTGCGCGTGATACGTCATTATACTATTTCTGCGTCATTGCACATGCGCAGTTCTTTCCGTTTCGGGGTTCAATCCGATCGAGTGTTTACAGGCACTCTCAATCGTATTAGAAAAGGAATAAACCACCCCCTTCAATCCGATCGAAATTTCATTCCGATCGAGCTCAATCGGATCGATTAAGGTGTTTACATGAAGGCTTTTCAGTACGATTGAGCCGTCAATCCGATTACAAATGGATAATTTGGTTGCATGTAAACGTAGCCAGTGTGTCATATTTCAGTATTTTATCAATGGATGTCCTCAGACACATCACAGATGTCTGGGATAATCCCGAATATCCTCTGACCCTAGAATCACCCCTGATGCACTTCTGACTCATCTAGATCTCTTGTTGTCCTTTAAGCTCCTCTGAGGAGGTGTGGGTGTGGCAGTGTGGAGCCACCAGGGGGCGACTCTGTCCAAATCAACCAGAAGCTTCTTTGTCACTAAAGCGGAGCACTTATACAGCGGTGAGATTATTGGTCCCCGTTTATATGGTGTTGCACCTGCAGTAACTGAGAATGTCACTCCTTTAATATGCTTCGGCTGTCACATGCAAACCTCTTTTCTGACAGGGGACCAGCCACCTGTGGTCACTTCCTGTTATGCCTTTTCAAGAGGTCACCTACCATTTTCGAGTGTCACATTCAGTGAGTGAACTTCAAACATGATGGTTCATCTCTTGCTCTTTCAATGTGTCCTAACCAGACACAACCAGAAATGAATTCTTTTAAACTGCTTGATTCACATGAACTGTGCAAAAGAATCAGTTCACAAAAATGAATCAGACTTCTCAGTTTTATCTGAAAAAAATCTGTCATGCATTTTTATTGTGCATGGTTAAGACTCTGTGTTTCATTGTTGTGGATAAGTTAACCATTCATCCTCTCTGTTTACAGAGTCTAACGGGATGTAGCAATGAAGATGACGACGTGTCCTCGCAGTGCTCTGAGTACAGTTTCCTCATTCAAAGCGCATGCTAAGCAGCGTCAAGATTCATGCTATTCAGCTTCAACTTCTCGTGTCCATTCGTATCGCCGCCCGAGATTCAAAGACTGTTTTATCTGGGCGAGCTGATAAAGACGTCTTATCTGTGTTTGTTCTGCGCATATTTGTACAAGACAAAAAGAAAATGAGCATTTTTCAAAAAAATCTTTTTCCGAGATCACTTAGCCTTAACCTTGATTATATATTACTGCTTATATACACACTTGCACACATACACACAAACATTTATATATTAAATTTCTTTTGATTTGCCAGGATAAAATATAAACAGGTACCAGTTAGTGACTGCTGGGTGGAGCTCACGCTCTGCAGTCTTTTCTCTCTGCTTCTCTCTGTCTTTATGTAAAATTGACTGTTACATCATAAATTGCGCTTGCAGTCAACATGAAATCAAAAAGGACCGAATTTACCCTCTTAAAACATGTTTTTGTGCATGATTCATTATTCTAAAGACATCAGTGGACATTATTCACATTTCCTTTAAAGAGCAAGTCATATGGGTTTTTGAAAAATATCTCTTGCAGTTTATAATGTAGCTATCTTTAAATGAAAACAATCTGCAAAGTTGTTAATCAAAAAAGTGCATGATAAAATAAAGATATTGTCTCTCAAAAGAGAGTCGATTCTGAATCGCCTTAACGAGTCGTCATATTTTCGAATCTTTTGCCTGTTAACCGGTATATGTCACTGGGTAACACATTTGCATAATCCTTTGATACGTTATGTGTACATTTTCAATTGAGTGCTCAAAATATCAAGTTTTTGTGCTAATATGTGATGTATACCTAGTGCAGCTTTAGGTTTCCAGGTAAAGCACGATATTACTGTCTTACTGAAGTAGTTCTGATAATTCGCTGTGAATCCACTATTTCCTAACAATGTGCCGATTAATGTAGACTGGCGTTGTTCTGATTACTTCGTTTAAAGGGGTCATATGATGCTTTTTTAAAGATCATTATTTTGTGTATTTGGTGTAATAGAATATGTTGGCACGCACGCGCGCGCGCACACACGATGCGCAAAACTCCGCATTTGAACAGTCAATAGCAAATACTTCAACTAGTAACAAAACATACTTACAGTCGCTGATTCAGAAGCGCCAGATTGTCATAGCAAAGTCAGAATTACCTCCTCTCCTAGGTTCACGAAACGGTCGTCCATAAAATGCATTGCTGTTCTGTTGTAAGTAATCTTAAAGATTCCTAAATGCATCTACTTTCGGAAGGCCAAATAAAGTGCTTTTGCTTTCGCCTAGAAACACACAGCGTCTCCCTGACATGCTGCTTCAACACTAACTGCGGTTACTGAAACCACGCCTTCTTTCTTTGCGTGCACATTTGGGCGCATTATGCAAATATTCCCACATAGTGAGGTAGATATGTGGGGGCGTGTTAGAACGAGCCGTTTTAGGGGGCTGTGGCAGAGACTTAACTTTGATAAAGAATATCTCTTTGGTTTTGAGACTTTAGTCTTTGCAACTTTAGGGATCTTATCTATTCACGAACAGCTTGTAACACTCCAAAGAGAAAGGAAAACTTGAAATCGCATCATATGACCCCTTTAATAATAAAGAATGTAGTGTAGCGCACAGACTTTATATTCTGGGAAAATTACAATATTTTCTGACCTTAGATGCATTTAAACCTGTTGTAGAGGACTCCAGCACAATATCAGGACACTTTAAAATACCATATGACCTGCTCTTTAAATGCCATTAAATTGGATGTGTTTACATGTCAACAGCTTTATGAACTTTAAAGCAATAGTTCACCCAAAAATGTAAATTTGCTCACCCTCAGGCCATCCAAAATATAGATGAGTTTGTTTCTTCATCAGAACAGATTTGGAGAAATGTAGCATTACGTCACTTGCTCACCAATGGATCCTCTGCAGTGAATGGGTGCCGTCAGAATGAGAGTCCAAACAGCTGATAAAAACATCAGAAGTAATCCACACCACTCCAGTCCTTCAATTACTGTAACAAATCCATCCTTTTAATGTCAAACTGTAGCTTCCAGCTAAAATATGAGTCCATAATTCAAAATAATGCTTTCTTCAGTGAAAAAGGAGAGAAATATGCACCGATCAAGCACTGTTTACAATCAAAAACAGTTCTTAACAAATATCTCTTTGATTTGATTTTGATGTAAGACAACAACAGGAGATGGACTTTATCACTAGATGAATCGTTTTGGATTATGGATTTTGGATTGGATTATATTTTGGATTATGGACTCATATTTTGACCAGAAGCAATGGTTTAAAGTTAAAACATCTTAATGATGTTTTTTTTTTCTTACAAACACGCAGCTTTTCACTTCACAAGACATTAACTGATGGACTGGAGTGCTGTGGATTACTTGTGGATTATTGTGATGTTTTTATCAGCTGTTTGGACTCCCATTCTGATGGATAATACTAAATTTCTCCAAATCTGCTTCTCGCTTAGCTAGAAGCATTCATTTGCATTCTTTATGTAAGTCTTTATAATGGACCATCTGCATGCAAGCCTTTTTATTTTTCTTAGTCACCGACTATTTATACACTGGAAATGGCTTTAACTGCACCGGCTCATTATTAATGATACACAAATAGGGTTATTTACCTTATTTTTTGTTAAACTTCTCATAACTGCTGTCGAACACTTATGAAGGATTTTAGCAATAATAGTCTTTACGTTTAACAGCCTCATTTCTGCTGTCGCATTCACTGGAGAGAAACAGTATAGATACGGATATAAAGAAAGCGGTGTAGAAAGTGAAGTAGGAGCCATTAAAACAACTACTGGATTTGTCTAAATTAGAGTCACTGGATTTCTCTTTAAAACTGGATAGACTTCTCACTGGAACCAACAGCAATTGCGGGTCAAACACTGTGGCAAAAACACTGGATCATTAAACTGGATTTTAAACACCTGTCAGGAAACACTTCAAATCGAGTTTTTACTGCGGTACTTTCTTTACATTATTCTTTCCATTTCCTTCTTTTACAATGTATATTCTTTCATTTTTAATGCATTGTTCTGACTTTAGTATGCTGCTCTGCATGCTATACTTTAAGCCGTAACCAATGATTGTGTTCAAAATCAGAGCGGATCTCGGTGGTTTCTCAGAGAATTTCTCAGACAATGTTCTAAACTTTCAGTGTTACTAAACAAAACTCAGTAGATTCATTCTAATTTCATTGTCTTTAAAATCCCCCACCCCTCTTTTTTTTATTTTGTTTGTCAAGAAGAAAAATGACCAGATTTATTGTCTTTCATGTAATCCAGCACTATGTAAATTTCAACACTATATTTAGAGTACTTTTGTCTTTGTTTGTTTCCTATCCTAGTACACATAACATTTTGATGTTCTAGATATTGTTTGAATATTTTAAAGCAATAAGGAAAGCCATAATCTAGTCTTTGTAAGGCTGGGTAATATGTGATTATGTTCGTCATGGTCAAATCATGAACCAGGAAAGTGTTGTCTGAAAATGTTGTGCACTAAAATTACAATTTCCATAATGCCATACTAATGCATGATACTGATTCTGAGTATAAAACATTTGGGATGATCTTTTGAAATCTAATATATGGTTATTTTTTAAAAATCATTGGGAATATCACATATTCTGTCATGAATAAACCAGCCTCTTGTGGAAGCACTTCCAAACTATGCACTGTAAATATTGTTTTTCTAATGTTTTCTGTGACATCTAAAACTCTGTAATATATGAAACGTCTTTTAAATGTTCTTGTGAGAATTCAGTTTGGTTTTTATTATTTGTTATAACTCATATCTTTCATTATGTACAACAGTATCCTTTATTTCTGTTATTTTTACTCGTCATTAGTTTTATAACATAATTTTACTACATTTATGATTTGTTCTCTGCTAATCATAAAATATTTGATTAAAAACATTACTTTTTTATTTTTTACATTTTAAATAACTTGTTTTAAGTGGGGTGAAACATTCCCTGTTTATCAATTACTGATATAAAATTACAAAAATAAAAAGTGTCTTATGTTTATCTTTACGGCTTTAAGCCCTGCAAGAACTAAAATATTAAAAACGGTTGATTCACTATTGTGTTTATGTTCGTTTCTCATTTCCATTGTTTTATCTGAGCTTTCTGAAAGCCTCTGTTGTATATTGATACATAATCGTTATTTTTAATTCATCTGCATAATTTGTCGTCTGACTTTTTTGACATGTATGTGTACTGATGTCGTAATACAAATGCATGCACGCATGTTGCATAAATAAAAAATAAATTCTGGATACTAAATTTAAATTTGTCTTTGTGTGAGAGCCATAATGAAATGACAAATACATTGTAGAAAAATATCTATCGTTTGGGAACAACAGGAGAAGGGGTTAAAGATGCATAGGATGCTGTTGTGGAATATCTGAAGGATACAGGGGTGTATTATAGGATTTAGATAGTAGTGCTATAATATTTATTTTGAAAAATGTTATTATTTTATTATAGTGCATTCATTGAGATATAATCCATACTGCATACTCCGACACAGTAGGTGGCGGTATGCACCTGATAAGTCATGGTTGCAATCCGCCATAAAACTAACGAGAAGAAGCTCTATCGTTCTATGGAGCGTTGGGACTTTTATTTTGTATTGTGCTGTTTACTCTCTCCTCTTCCGGTCACTCTTCACTTACGTGGCGGTTCTTGCTGTTTTTCCGGTCGGACAAATTCTGTCACACAATGGTAAATTACGCATGATTTTACAGCGAATTATTATATTTCCTAAACGCCAGAGAGTCCAGAAATGACTCGAATCTGTAAATAACGCGTCTAGTATTTTCTTTAATCGCTCCGGTCTTGTTAAATTGCAGCCGTTTGGTAGCTTTAGCTGTCAGCTACAGTTAGCTGAAGCCTTTTTTGCACTATAAATATGTAAATATGCATATTTTGAGACGTAAATATGTATGTGTATAAGCTTCATGTGAACATGTAACAGATGTTATGCAGAGAGAAGTGTTTTAAATCTAGGTTGCACCATTCATTTAATGAGTGTCTCAGTTTTCACATTCATGTATTTTATATAATCCACATTTCTGTGTTTATAAGTGATGTCTCTTTGGATGTCAGTAATGGAAAATCCATATCAGTTCAGCACTTTTATGCACCTGTTCTTTCCAGCCTCTTGATGTCATGAATATTGTTGTTTTCTAGCTGTTACCTGGTTTTTCAGCATGATGTTGGACATCTTCAGGTGTCTGGTTTCAGAAGTCGTGTCCACTAACCTGTAAATGACTGATTTTCTGTGCAGGAGTTGGAAGCCATGACGAGATACACCAGTCCGGTGAACCCTGCTGTGTTTCCTCACCTCACTGTAGTGCTGCTGGCCATCGGCATGTTCTTCACCGCCTGGTTCTTTGTGTATCCTTCACTGTCCATACCACTGCATTGTGCAATCAGAAATATGATTGTAAACTTTAGCCTAAAAAGGTGTTTGTGTATTTGCATCCTTGACTCTGTCGCAGATATGAAGTAACGTCCACGAAGTACACGCGAGATC